ATCTCAGACTTCCGGGCTCTACTGCTCTGATAGAATACATTTCTGTTTTTCTAAGCCACACAGTAGGCCTAGGAAATGAATACAGTAGCAATTCCTTGTATTGGCTACCACTTTCAGTATTTTCAAAATGTAGGCTGGAGAAACTTTCTTGAGAAAATACATTAAGGAAGCGTGGGCACCAGGTTGCTGAGTTTCTCTTCCTACCCACGAGTCATAAACCCTTGAGCACAGAGAGCAGGAGATGCAGCTATTAGCATTTTATTAGTTGGACAAATAATACATGTGGATGAAGCAACATCAGACAGTAGAGTGGAGCTATCCTGCATCTGTGGAGACTGAAGAGAAAGGGGAGAGGGGACGTTTCCTGTGTTGTGTACGGCTCCAGAGGAGGGCATGACATTAGTCTCTTAGTTATAGCCTGTGGATACATTCACTCGTCATTCATTCATCATTCCACTAGTTAATGGGACACATCTTACATGTATGATGTTAAGTTTGAGAAAGCTGCTGTTTTTAAGATCAGCTCCTTGCCTTGTAGATAGCTAATGAGAAATGCTGGTGAAAAATACTAAACAAATAAATAAAATACTTTGCATGTTATAGAGGAAATAAATGCTCTAAATAAAACCAATGAAAATAGTATCATTGGTCCTTTTGTTCTGGGCACTAAAAATCAGCAGATTAAGGATAATTGTCTTGCTCCTTTCTTTATTTATCTCCTGTCTCCTTCTGCACTGAAAGAGCCAAAAGATGAGGGACCTCATCTTGGTCTCTGCTGTTTCTCATTTGCGCCTTGTACAGTGGGCACACAGAAAGTGTTTGTCTATGACATTTGCTGGTTAGTAAGAAAGGGGAACCAATGTGAGATTGGGGGCCCCAGGAAGTTTTCCCTCCTGCAGTGCTGAGGATTGAACCGACGGCCTCGCTGTGCTGGCAAGTGCTCTACCACTGAGCTACGTTCCCAGCCCTCAGAGAGTGTTTTATTTGTGTTTATGTTGAAATTGGTTTTGCAGTAATCTTTTCCTTTTACTCACCTGACAAGATTTTTAGGGAAGTACTATTAACCCTGAAACTTTATTGGAAACCTCTGCAGTAGGTTTCAGTCTCCTGCTCAGTGTACAATGCAAGCCTGAGGGAAAAAAACTAAAAGACAACTAAGAGAGACAAAGTGGGGAGCCAGGATGGCCAATGCTGCTTTAGCAAAAGGTGCTGGTCTGTGCAAGCCACTGACTTTTATTGGTCACTAATTGGGGTAAAAGCAAACTATGTGCAAGGGTGTGCAATTGTGCAGTTTCTGTGGAAACTAATGGAGGCAAGGCTTGTAAAAGGAAAAGACAAAGCATTCTCAAATTAGGAACAGAATAGACAAAATATATGGTTGTAATGAGAACACTGTTGTTCTAGTTAAGAAAGTTTTAAATGTGAGAATGGAATTTGGGTGCAAATTACTCTGACCTCCGTACGTAGGCTTCTGCCAGACTCATTTCTAGAAACAAGCCGATTGTGGGATTGACTCTTCACAGCCTGTGCTGCTTACAGCCTGCTTTGGGCATAATCAATATTGTGGTCCCCTGCAGGGGAGAAATTTTTTTAATTAAAAAATATTTTTATTAATACATGTTTGCAGTACATACTTTTTTTTTTGGAGACGGGGTCTCACTATGTAGTCCAGACTGACCTTGAACTCATGATATAGCACAGGCTGGCCTCCAACTTGCCATGATCCACCTGCCTCAGCTTCTCAATTGCTGGGATTATAGGTGTGCACCACCATGCCTGGTTTAGGGGACAAATTTTTTAGATAGAGAAGCAATGAAACCTCAGGGCAAAGTAACTCATAAGATCTAGGGTAGGTGTGTGACCCATCGACCTTGGTTTACTTTAAATTCTAGATACAACATTTGCTCTCTCATTTATAGTAAGTAATTGGTGTTTTAAAACTTAAAATTGTAAGGTTATCTTTTAAAACAGTGGTGAAGAGTCAAGGAATTTAGTTTTGGGGGGTTTTTTTTGGTACCGGGGATCAAACTTGGGTCCTTGTGCTTGCGAGGCAGGCAGCAGAACCACTGAGCTAAATCCCTGGCCCGGAATTTAGTTTCTTTAAATTCAGTGCTTTGTTTCTCTCCTCAAAGTTGTAAAACCTTGGGTGGCTGAAAGCACAGATGTACATTTAAAATTATCCCAAGTATAATCATAACACCTTACTCTAAATTTGTAGGATGTACAATTCTTTTTTTCCTCTTCTATCTTTAAGTATTTATTTTAAAATCAGTAAGAAAATTTGAATAGAAGCAACGCACTGGGTATTGGGTTCTACTATAGCATAAGACAGCCCAAGAGGGGAGAGAAGGCAGTGAGAGCAGGTACAGATTATGCTGCTTCGTTCAGTTTTAAGTAACTGAAATAGAACACAGTGAAACCCAAGTAAGAGCTTGAAAATCTTATGCTTTTGAAAACATTTTGAAACTAAGGTTTTTTGGAGGAGAGAGTAGTTTGTTTGATATTTTTCTTTTATTTTTCCTACTACTAAGCAATTTAAATGGTTATTTAAAAATAAACTATCAAGTAGTAAAACAAAATAAACATTAAATAGTCCAAGAGAAAAATGGGGAAAGGATAGAACTAGAAACTGTACTAATAAATGAGCATATTTAATTAATTAATTAATTAATTTTTTTGGTACTGAGGATCGAACTTGGGTCCTTGCACTTGCACAGCAGGCAGCCGAAACCACTGAGCTAAATCCCTGGCCCATAAATGAGGATATTTGAAAACCAAGAAATACCTGCAGCCAGAAGCCAAATGAAAGCCTGCTCAAGTTCTCTAGCAGTCAGGGAATTGTGAATTAAAACAGTAAGTCGCCAGGCTTTGCATGCAGGCTTGAAAACACACAGTTTGAAGAAAAAGGACATTGTTCCAACCTTTTCATAAGCAATTTGACAAAAGCAGTTAGCCTTAAATATCTATTTCCCTTTGACTTACTGTTGTCACTTCTGAGAATAAATCCTTTGCTTTTCTATTCTTTTCTTTTCTTGTGCTTGGCTTTGAACCCAGGGCCTAACCCTGGCTCTACCTCAGAGCCACATCCAACACACCCCAACCCCTGAGAATATCTGAATGCAATAAAATTAAGTATGTGTAACATTTTAACTGTAAAGATAATGAAATGAAATGGTATTTGAGATAGCAAAGTATTGAACATTATCTAAATGACCGACAAGAACAAAATAAAGCTGTGACTTGTAATCTAACTATACCTGACAATTGTACTGGACCCCGATAGTAGTTTAGGCTTCTTGGAATGGGAAGATGTTGATGGTGCGCTACCTAACAGCAACAGCAAAAAGCAAACTAAAAAGTAATAGTTTCAGTGTAGCGTAAGAGCATTCAGATCTTTTGGAGAGAGGCAGACAGAGAAAGATAGGAAAAGTGAAGTACACACAGGTATGTGCAGGGTGATCCTTTGTGCAGGCCGGATTGTGGCTGCTTTCATGTTTCTATTCGTCGCTGGCCTCAGGCTTTCCCATGGGGAGCACACATGCTCCCGTATGAAGGCGTGAGCTCTGTGTCTCAAGTGTGAGGATACACAGTTGAGCTTTAGGGTCTCCCTAGGAGAGGCACAGGGACAAGGACAGGAGCGGGCATGAGGAGACTAACTGTCCACTGAGGAAGAGCTGCAGAGGTAATGCGGGGGACCACCGTGCGTCCCCCAGGCTGGCTCAAGGATGGAGCTGGGGCGGGGGAAGGTAGAGCCATGAGGCGGCGGCTGGGCTGGCACCCACTTGGGCTCAGAGGGCACAGGTGGCTCGTTTTTCCGAGATCAGCTATCCGATCAGCTCTCAGGAGTAAGGATTCTGTGCCAGTCTGCAGAGACCACTGCAGGGTCCAGCTCTGAGGAGAAAAAGGAAATATTTGTGGTGGTGGCGGTCACTGTACCCTTCCATCCAGTGACTGAAATGGGCTGTTAGCCAGCTGCCCGGTCAGATCTGAAGGGTGTGCATGAGGGCTGCCAGGTAAAATGCACAGTGTCCAGTTAAACTTGAGTTTTGATAGACACCCAAAGGTTTTGTTTTTAGGATAAGTATATAACTCAAATATTTGCTGACTCCAACGACCTCAGCCATAGCACCACACAATTTATAAACAGCAGCGTAGACAGGCAAATCAGCCCAGGACATACACAGAGCGCACTGCTGGCTGCCTTGTTGGTGGGAGTCCGAAGGGGCCAAGGACAGGCACACGTTAAGAAAGACGCTCGGCAAGAGGCTGTGAGAGTCAGCGAGAAGTCAGGCGTCAACAGTGAATCAAGAATGAGTGACTCGGCTCTGTGTACTTGGATCCAAAAAGAAAACTTCAGTGTTTTCCCTTGGGCTGGGAGTGTAGCTCAGGGGTAGAGGCAGGGCTGAGCATGTGTGAGGCCCTGGGCTGTATCCCGAGCATCATACAAAATACATTTCATCTTGTAGTCTCCTGGAATTTCTTTACTGAAGTCCTGGTGATACTCCCTGGCAAGAGGGAGAGAGTGAAGGAGAGAAACAGACAGACAGAGACAGAGAGACTGGGATAGAGAAAGACAGAGAGACAGGGGGGGACAGAGGGAGACAGAGACAGAGAGACAGAGGGAGAGAGACAGGGAAGGAGGGAGAGAGGGGGGAATCCCACCGAGTACTCTGGCACTAGCAAATTAAGAGGCAGGAAAGTGGCCAGGAAGAAGAGTGGGCAGGACTCAGAAGGGCTAATTAATAATTTTGTAAATCTGGTGAGAAACAACTAATAAATCAAGAGAGCACAGTTTCGCTTCGCCCTCCTGCTTTAGAGGGAATGTGCTTCTGTTCTCAGGGAGTGAGTAGCGACAGAAGAGCACCAGTAAGCACTGGTGCTTGAGTGCTGCCATCAGGACAGGTAGAAAACCAGGCAAAGTTTACATTTGCCCGGTGGAAAATACATGCCACAAAGTACCTCTCCCTCCTTCAACTCCTTCTCCTTTCCGAACCTTGCAGCCGATTACAAGGAGAGCTTCAACACGATCGGAAACATCGAGGAGATTGCGTACAATGCCGTTTCCTTCACCTGGGACGTGAACGAAGAGGCCAAGGTGAGTGAGAACGTCGCCTCGATCATGTTCGCACTGTAGCACAGCGCCCGTTCCCTGCAGAACAAGCTCTGCCCGGGCCCGCTGGAGGCAGCGTCCCGAAACTTGGGCCAGAGAAAAGCAAGTGGACCGCTTGTTTTCCTGGCAGCCCTGCACATCCCTTGTGCAGTCTCAGTTGCCTTTGGGAGTGAGGGAGTAGGGAGAAAGGGGTGCGAACCCATGCACTCAGGAGCAGCTGCAGCTTAGACCTGGAGCTTTGGAACCCGGGTCAGCAGCCCGCCTGCCCCTGCTCTGCAGCGCCCCCGGGCACCCTCTCGGGCGTCTCCATGCATCCTCTTCAGTGCCGGCCTCTTCAGGGATGAGAGCCCCACCGCCCCAGGCCTGGGCTGGCAGGAAGGGCGCAGGGAGCAGGCCTCTGGGTTTCCTGATGAGGAGCGGCCAGTCCAGGGCCGTCAGCTGCCGCTCCTGTTGTCTGCGTAACCTCCTCTGTTCCTCCAGGTACCGGTTGCTTTAGGGCAGGGGCAGCTTCTGTGGGGCGCCCCGGGAACAGGGGCCACCCCACCGGCTTGGACAAGAAAGCAGCCCCAAGCTCTGATTATACGGAAGCTCTGCCCGGCCTCCTTTCCGTGTTCCACAGCCCATTTCCCCTCCCTGTCGGGCTCTGGAGGGAAGCCGTGTTCTGCTTCAGTTGTGCGCCACCTGGAGGTGCTGGGCGGCCCTGTCTTCACACCCCAGAAGGTCCACGTAAAGCTACCCGGTGGAGGCCTCCTTGTCGGCCCCGGCAGGCTGGCTGGAGAGGAAGCCCGGGGGCGGGGGGGG